GTCAAGAAGGATTGGGCAAGTCCCAGGCTTATCCCACAGGCAAAAAGACAACTTTTTCTTCCTCTCTCCCTTCCTCCTGCCAAATTTAAACAGTGGGCTAGACAATCTCACTTTAATTTGTTTTAGATGTCTGCACTCTTGTTTCACAAGTATCACCTTGGATAATCTTCCTGAGGGTGGGGGTGGGCAGTGATGACAGTGGGGTAAGGGGTTCCTGGATGTGGTGAAAAACAGCGACCTAATAGTTGGGGGTGATGCCTGTGATGGGATCTTTGTTCTATTCATAGAGCAGGGAGCACTGGCCTCCAGCCCCTGGACTGGGAGATCTCTGATGGCAGTTTGGAGAAAAAGGAAGTGAGAAGAATCTTGGAGACAAATTTAGAATGTGGCGCCAGGAACTAGCTGGTGAGTAGAGACGGTAGTCTGGTTTTAGAGGGCAAATTTGGGGAAATTTCTAACATTGGAGGAAGGCCATCTGGCAGCTCAGATGAAGGTTGGGAATTCAAAGGCTGGGAAAACTGGAAGCCGAATTAAAGAAAATACTGGGTATGGGAAGGGGAGAGGAAGATTTATTGGGACTGTTTTCATAGAGGAAGGAGATTCTAGGTGAAGTGTTTTAGAAGGTAGGGAGGGGGTAGCCTATGGTGAGAAGGAATAGATAGAATTTGGTTGGGCTCTGGATCTAATTTGAGAAAGAGTTTGGGAAGGGTATTGAGGGTGGTATCTAGAATTCTGGGAGGGTGAGCTGAAGTTGCAGGGGGTAATGTGGGTTAGGGAGGATATTTTAGGGGGAGTGCTGAAGAAGGTGTCCAGGTGAAGCCTAGATTTAGAACGCCGAGGACCTGGGGGAGGGTAAGGTGAACACCTGAGTGTGCTTAGGAGACTAACTGGGTGCCAAAAGTGCAGTACTGTTGGCATGGGGAGTGGGCTGAGGGTTCTGAGTAACAGGCATGAAGAAGGTGGAGTGTTGGAAGCAGCCGAGGGAGGATAACTGTTATGTATCAGGAATTGGCCTGTCCATATTCTGGGCAGGAATGTAGAGGCGTCATGAAAGTACTTCAGGGGACACCCAAGTTGGAGGAGTTAGAGTGGTGTTGGAGATATGCAGGTTGGATATTTTCAGGGGGAAAATGTGAGGGACTCTTAGGGTATCTGTTGGAAGTTGAGTTATTGGAGAATCTGAGAAGGGTTCAAGACGAAGAATCTGAGAGAGCAATGGGGCGTCCTGGAAGAGAATCTGATCATTCTGAGGTTCCTGTGCCAGGAGATTCTGAAAGTCACGGGACTTCAGATTGGGGGATTCGGGAGCGTCCCAGGCTGGGGTCTGGGGGCAGAAGCGGGTTCAGTAGAAGAGTCGTGAGTGACTGGAGTGAAACTGAAGCCGATCCTGGGCTGGCGGTGGGCAGCGGGGACCGGCAAGCCGGGCTCACCTGGGCAGGCTGTCCTGGTAGTGCATAGTGGGGACGATGCTGCGCTGCAGGTACTGGCCCGGCCCGGAGCTGGCGCTGAGGGGCCGACGAGGTGCTCCTGGGACAACGGTAGGGCCCCGGGGCCAGACGCGCAGCAGCAGGCGGGCCACCATCGTCCCGGGAGGCTGCGGCGTCAGAACGCGGGGAACACGGAGTATTGGTGTACAAACACTAGCCAC